AGGTATTGCGGCTGTTTAAGTGGATGACACCTTTTCAGAAAACTTTAAGACCGAGGCCGGGTTACGACAGAGATGCATCTTATCACCGTTATTCTTCAATACTTACATAGAGTACTTTATGCGCATTGTTTTGGAATAATGGTGGTGACGCAGGTGAGCGTCACCTTAAACGTGAGCTGATGAGCTGAAAGGGAGCACATGAACTCTGCGGAGAATGAGCGGATACGAAAGGGTAGGTAGGAAAACGGGACTTACTTGGAGGCTGATGCTGGCACTATCACGGTCGTAGTGGTGTTTCTCTGCGATGGGTGGCACATACACCTTTTCACCGGTTCACACTCAACCTTTTACTTAGTATATAACGAAGGGCGCGCGCGCACAATTTACTCCCCATGATCTGTAAGCGGAGTAAAATGTCCCTTCGGAACAAAGTGACACTTTACAAAACTTGCATAAGGCCCGTCATGACTTACGCGAGTGTGGTGTTCGCTCACGCGGCCCGCACACACATAGACACCCTCCAATCCCTACAATCCCGCTTTTGCAGGTTAGCTGTCGGGGCTCCGTGGTTCGTGAGGAACGTTGACCTACACGACGACCTGGGCCTCGAATCAATTCGGAAATACATGAAGTCAGCGTCGGAACGATACTTCGATAAGGCTATGCGTCATGATAATCGCCTTATCGTTGCCGCCGCTGACTACTCCCCGAATCCTGATCATGCAGGAGCCAGTCACCGTCGACGCCCTAGACACGTCCTTACGGATCCATCAGATCCAATAACCTTTGCATTAGATGCCTTCAGCTCTAATACTAGGGGCAGGCTTAGGGACCCCGGTAACCGTACTCGTCGAACTCGACAAAGAGGTCGACGTGCAACCTAACCCATGCATCAGCCCGCTGAGTTTCTCGCCGGATCTTCTCAGCGGGTCGCGATTCCGATCCGGTAGTAGATTCATTCGCGAAACAATTGCTCTTGAGTTGTTAGGTCTCCTTCGGAGGCGCTCGGGCAGTTGTTAGCAAATCCCACCCCTCTTGGCTGAGCCTTTGCTCGCCCACCTGTCCTGGTGAAACTGGAAAGGCCTTCGGGCCACCAGTAAACAGGTATAGCAGTTGGGGACGAGTGATAAACAATTTGAGATACGCTGATGACACTACCCTTCTCGCCCAGACTAGAGAAGACATGGAAATTCTACTGACTCGTCTGGAAACTACCAGCCTTAAATACGGATTTATGGAACCAATGTACAAAACATAGCTAACTGTGAATTTGTACAGACCTACATCTACCTCGGCTCTGCTATCTCAAGCACTGGAGGATGTGGTGAAGAGATCAGACGACGATGCCATCACCAGGTCAGCAGTGGAACGGCTGGGAAAGATTTGGAAGGATAGGAGGATTACGAAGAAGTCTAAGGTCAGATTGATGAAATGTTTTGTGTTTCCAATATTTCTCTATGGAACCGAAACCTGGTCTCTAAGATTGCGGGATCGCCTTAAAATCGATGCACTGGAAATGTGGTATTGGAGACGTCTCCTAATGATCCCGTGGATGGCTATCCGCACCATCCATCCTCAAGGAACTCGTTATCAAAGCCCGACTTTCGTCAACTGTACAACTAAGGGTAGGCAGCGGCTTGGCTCTGCCCCTGGCATTGCTGAAATCCATGGGCGACGGTAACCACTCACCATCAGGTGGACCGTATGCTCGTCTGCCTACAAGGGCAATAAAAAATAAAAAAGAACTAAGGGTTTTAAAGTTCTTTGTTGTCCAGAAAAGAGCACTCGATGGAGAGACTGGTAGTCCAAGGCCGGGTGGAAGGAAGGAGATCACGCGACCGCTCACCAACGCGCTCGACTGACCTAATAAAAAAGGCGACTGAGTCCACTATGGTCGAATGTACTTAAAATGCTTCGAACCGCCAGACCTGGAAGCGTATTGCCAGGGGGGCGGTCCTCAAGAGCATGGGCAACATAACGGGTGCTTCTGCACATACAGCGTCAGCGCAACCACGACCACTCTGACAAGAGTGTCCGACTGTGAAGAAGAAGAAGAAATTTAACGGTAGGCAGCAGCTTGGCTCTACTCCTGGCATTGGTGACGTCCATAGACGACGGTTAGCACTCACAATCAGATGGGCCGGATGGTCGTCTGCCTACAAGTGCAATAAATAAATAAAAAAGAACGCGAAAAACCAGTCGATTTCTAGAATGATGAAGATTTTGCTAGTACGTTCTATTACTCTCTAGCCTATGAATTATGCGGTCATACAGATGACAGGTAAATTTTTTATTTGATTTGCTTTAAATGACTATAACACTATCACGCTATTCTTCTATATATCAGGGTTTTTATAATTTTGTTTTAATATCATATGAAAGTTTTGCACTTCCTACAATATCATTACTATTCAGAATGCACTATAGAAATGTATTAACACAGTACTTAACGCGATAACTAAGCTTTATGAAGGTTCAGCTGGACCTCGCAAGAAGCACTGCTGTCATCTCTTGGTCGAGGTTTCTAATTACCAGTTAAATCCACCTGACTCCATACACAAGAGGGCCGTTCGTATTGTCAATGATCCCGCTGTCATGAATCGTTTGGAACCTCTCAGTGGTCGAAGAGGTTACGGATTCTCTGTATTTAATACCGCTTGATCTTATGAGGTGTGCTCTTAGCAAGTTTTTGAAATGATCCGGTATCTCCCTTCAACCGTACCACTCACCACCCGAGCAATGTTCATCTATACTATCGGGAAGCAGTGCGATCATCCACATCACCTTTCCAGATAATTTTTTTGAGGAGAAATTTTAATTTCAATTCTATCAGTTTTATGCCTCGAGTACGACCCTGTTGTTTACGATGTTAAACATTTCCTCGGTCGATCGGTAAATTGTTAGGTTGCTAAATTGTTGTCCCACTGCCATCCTAGACTATTATTGAAATCGGGTACTTATATTTTTTTTCCTACCTATACCTTGAGATGCTATTTCAGCTTCGCCCTAACGTGTAGGTGAGCTCACGGAGCTCAAACTGGAGTGTTGCTAACACTGGCCCTAGCAAGAGCAGTGCTTCGCAGAATCCACCAGCGGATCGGAAACGCGACCCACTGAAGGTCCGGCGAGAAACTCAGTGGGCTGTGTCTGTAGGTTAATTCGCTCGTCGAGCCCTTCGTCGCAAGCGACGGCTTCCACGTGGACGGTTACCGGTGCTTGTGGTGCCTAAAAGCACCGTTAATGAATCAGGAGGATCCGTAATGACGTGTTTTGGGCAACGTAGACTGTTTACCATTCGGTCTACAGGATCGGGTATGTAATCGGGTACTTTTAAATGTGTTTTCAATGCGAGAGCATAAAAAAACATAGTTTTCTGTTTTTCTTGCCTTGGTGTAGGTGGGCCCATTATTACGATACGGAGACTTATCCGACCGCGACGGGGCAACGCAAAGCCTCCGTTGCCCGAACTCTCCCATGAATCCATCCCCTTAACGCCCATGTCTTGTCAAACCCTCCGAATTTACTGTCGGTTTTCTAAGGCCTCTCAAGCACCCGTCACCGTCCTCGTTCCAACTCGTCGATTATGACGAAGAGTTCGATGACCGAACTAACCCATAGACACAGCCCACTGAGTTTCTCGCCGGATCTTCTCAGTGGGTCGCGATCCGGTGGTAGATTCTGCGAAGCACTACTCTTGCTAGGGCTAGTGTTAGAAAAAAAGATACGGAGAGTGCTAATGCCAATATCGTGGCCTTCGGCTCTTTTATCGGTTAAAATCGTCTAAGACTTTTCAATCCTCGAACATGTTGTCTTCTTCTTTTTCTCCACCTTATCCCACTAGGTTGGGTCGGCACAGCTAATTTTTCTCTTCCATTCTCTTCTATCAGCCGTCATCTCAACACTCACTCCTCTCTCTCTCTCTCATATCGTCATTCACACACTCCATCCATGTCTTTTTCGGTCGACCTCTTCCTCCGCCTACCTTGCACTACCGTTTCTATATATCTCCTAGTTACATGCATCTTCTCTCTACGCATCACATGTCCATACTACGCTAACCGTCCGCTCTTTAATTTGTAGATTACCGGGGCTACTTTCACACTTTCTCATGATTTAGCGTATGGTAGTAACGCGATTTTTGTATCTATTTATTTCTTTGTCTATATCGAGAGTCATGTCAAAACATCCAGCACGAGTCTAAGCTGTTGTGTTTAAAGCTACTCACAAATTTTTTGGACTAGTGTCGTATTTTTTGCTTTTTAAGGTTTGAAAATTTTGTCTCGATCATTTTAAGTATTTCATCCAACAATTATGTAAAAGCAAAATGTTCATTTGCAAATAAAACATTACTATAAGATAAATTAGAGAATATCTATCAAAGTCTTTACCGGAATCCAGTTCGGAGCAGAATTACTACTAATAAATATTCGTAACGGAACAGCATACATCATTTGTACGCATTTATAAATAATACCAGAGGTAGGTACAATAAATAATTTATTAATCTATCTCCTTACGTCTAGTACATAAATTTGTTGTTTGATGTCTTATGATTAATTATTATACCTTTTCTCCTTTCGAGGAAGCGACTCTCATCAATACAATTTCAACAGTTCTGAAGTATAAATAAAATTAGAAATAAAATCAATCTATTATATATAATATATGGTGAAGGAATAGCATCGTGCAATAAAAATCAAACCCACAAAATTATAATTTGCGTAATTACTGGTGGTAGAACCTCTTGTGAGTCCGCGCGGGTAGATACCACCACCCTGCCTATTTCTGCCGTGAAGCAGTAATGCGTTTCGGTTTGAAGAGCGGGGCAGCCGTTGTAACTATACTTGAGAACTTAGAGCTTATATCTCGAGGTGGGTGGCGTATTTACGTTGTAGATGTCTATGGGCCCCAGTAACCACTTAACACCACCTGGGGTGTGAGCTCGTCCACCCATCTAAAGTATAAAAAAAAATGATTCTGATTGTCGAATTGTTGTCAGATTACTTTCCATAAGAATAAAAGCCGTGGCCAGCGCCGTGTCCTCCGAAGAACAGGCCCGCCCCATAACCACCGTAAAAAGTTCTATAACGATTCGGCTCCTCATCTTCTTCGCTCTTGTTTTCCACTGTCCTGTAATGTCCAGTCTTCTCGTTCTGCACCGTTCTTTGCAACGGAAGAACGGTTAGATCATGGACAGGCACGAGATTGTGTTGGATGGGAATCAGGATCAGGGAGGGGGAATGGGTAATGTTGCTACTGTGCGCCACGGTTTGCGTCACGACCGGAATCCTGACATTGTTACTGACTATGTGATTGACACTCGTGTGTACTGAGCTTTGCACGTTCGACTGGGGTGGTAAAACGTGGAATTTTGCGGGAACGTATAGCTGATGGGTTAAGGGAATTACGGTCAAGTTTGGCGCTTTTTTCTTTCTAGGATATTTCGACGGTAGTATGTGTATGTGTTGAATGTGTGTCGGCTCATGAGTTAGTATGACGGGGTGCTTAAGACTCTTTGTGTCCGTGGTCCTCTGTAACGGCGAATTAAAGACGTCGGGTAGATCAAGCATCACTAGCAGGATTACAAGCTGAGTAAACATCTGCAAAGAACAGGTAAAGAGATATTAAGACAAGTTGATTGCCATGCTGAAGGAACGCTTGTATCGCACGGGCTAGTACTAAAACCGTTTTGACGATTTTTACTGATGGTAGGATCTCTAGTGAGTCTGCGCAAGTAGGTATCACCACCCCGCCTATTTCTGTCGTGAAGCAGTAATGCGTTTCGGTTTGAAGGGTGGAGCAGCCGTTGTAACCATACTTAAGACCTTAGAGGTTACATCTCAAGGTGGATAGCGCATTTACTTTGTAGATGTCTATGGGCTCCAGTAACCACTTAACACCGGGTGGGCTGTGAGCTCGTCCACTCATCTAAGCAATAAAAAAAGAAATCGCTTTAAAAATTTTAATTAAGATTGTGAGGGCTCCGGTAAGGGCTCCTGTAATACTTAACACCAGGTTGGCCGTGAGCCTATTTTCCATGACGTATGCTGTAAATAAATAAATAGTAAGAAACGATATGGTAGTGTGTAAACGCTTTTTTTTTTTTTGGTCAGGAGGAAATCGCCGGACTTCCGCCCTCCACTGGGGACGGCGGGCGGAGCATGTCGGAGTCGAACCGACTAAAACCTCCTGTCGCTCAACAACCAACGTCCAAACCTCACATGAGACAGAACTCATGAAAAGGCAAAGGGGGGAAAGTGAAGTGTTTAGTGCGGAGCACATCTCTCCCATCANTCAGGAGGAAATCGCCGGACTTCCGCCCTCCACTGGGGACGGCGGGCGGAGCATGTCGGAGTCGAACCGACTAAAACCTCCTGTCGCTCAACAACCAACGTCCAAACCTCACATGAGACAGAACTCATGAAAAGGCAAAGGGGGGAAAGTGAAGTGTTTAGTGCGGAGCACATCTCTCCCATCACCCTCCCCCTCGGGACGCCGGACCGGCGGTCGTCGGCGCCACGACCACCAGCCCTCTCGGTCGGCAGGCTATCCGGAGCCCGCCTAGATGGCGACGGTTAGAGTGAGCTATCCTACGGAATACCCCGCTGAGTGTGTAAACACTAGGTTTATTTTAACTAAAGTCTAAGCTAGGCTGTATTAATGCTTACTCATCATGCCCTTAGTTTGAAGGATGTTACAGCTATTATTTTAATAAAAAATAGGCACTGTTTATTAACAACAGGCGAGCCGTGAGTGTATTTGCTTATTTAAATCATGAAAAACAGTTCCGCCATGATGTTATTTTATGCCTATTTCGAGCATTCTATTAAGCATAAAGCTTGAAACTTGAAAAGTAACACATTTTACTTGACATTTTGAAAACAAAATTTCCTCCACCGGATCCGGAAACGGATTAAAACGTAACTTTTTCAATGCGAAAGCGAGTTGTGAAGTAATTAAGGAAGCTTAAAGCTCAGTTCCGATTGGAGACTGCAGCCGGAGACAAAGGAGCCGGATTATCTTGTTCAACGCCGATACTATTACCATCTGCTTCGCAATACTTTAGGCTACATTCTAGATAATTAAAAACGTATCATCAGTATGCCGTATTCGTAATGTAAATGTATCGAGTTCTCGATACAAAAACACTACATTAGATGGTAGTACTCGATAGCCAGACAGCCTTCGAGATTTAAGTTACCATTTTTTTTTCCTACATAAGCTGATAGGCTTGAGAGGCTATATCAGCGGAACCTTAACTAGTAAGTGAGCTCACGGGGCTCAAACCTGAGGACGTTGCTAACACGAACCCTAGCAAGGGCAGTGCTTCGCCGAATCTACCACCGGATCGGAAACGCGACCCACTGAGGAGATCCGGCGAGAAACTCAGTGGGCTGTGTCTGTGGGTTAATTCACTCGTCGAGCCCTTTGTCGCAAGCGACCGGTTCGACGAGGACGGTGACCGGTGCTTGTGGTGCCTAAAAGCACCGTTAATGGATCAGGAGGTAAGGATACGAATACTTTGATAGTCATTCGTGTTCGCCCCTCAGTTGACAGTTCATCAAGAGTCGTTGCGTGAGTGGTAAGGTCTACTTCAAATAGATTCGTTGATAAGTTTAAATACACTCCAGACGGTTATTGAATATAAACGATTTAACTCGTCTGGGAATTTACAGAATGTTATCTATCGTCTGTTAAGAAGACATTGTATTGTAATCTATAAGGTATTCGAATTATTTTAGCTGGTGTAGCTGGGTAGACAGGTTTTTGGATGTCACTGTTGGTAGGACCTCTTGTGAGCCCGCGCGGGTAGGTACCACCGCCCTGCCTATTTCTGCCGTGAAGCAGTGATGCGTTTCGGTTTGAAGGGCGGGGCAGCCGTTGTAACTATACTGAGACCTCAGAACTTATATCTCAAGGTGGGTGGCGCGTTTACGTTTTAGATGTCTATGGGCTCCAGTAACCACTTAACATCAGGTGGGCTGTGAGCTCGTCCATCCATCTAAGCAATAAAAAATAAAGTCATTTCATATTCTGAATTTTGATAAACAGAAAACTAGTGGTATAATTCAAATGTCACTTTGTTATTCGATTTTAAATTATTATCAATTTGAGCACGCGGTGTCATGGTTTGACATAAACTTATTGTTAGCGCAACCTAACCTAAAACTTATTCAGCATCGGAATGTTGGTCGCACCGCCTAAATCTGATTTACGAACTATAATTAGTCATTAATGTTTTAGACAAATCGGCGGCGTGGCGGGCAGCCTAGGCAACTTTCCAAAATTAACATTGATTGGCTAAATGGGAACTAAATTTGGTTTGCGATTAGTTTAGGTTTATTTAGCTATGTTATTTTCTATTAACAAAACAGCGGCGCCATATTAAGCTACCGGTCGATGATTTCAGAATTTGTATTATTTATTAATGTTACTCTTATTGTGTACAATATGAAAAATGTCTACTTTTGTCTTACTGGTGGTAGGACCTCTTGTTAGTCCGCGCGGGTAGGTACCACCACCCTGCCTATTTCAGCCGTGAAGCAGTAATGCGTTTCGGTTTGAAGGGTGGGGCAGCCGTTGTAATTATACTGAGACCTTAGAACTCATATCTCAAGATGGGTGGCGGCATTAACGTTGTAGATGTCTATGGACTTTAGTAACCACTTAACAACAGGTGGGCTGTGATCTCGTCCACCCAACTAAGCAATAAATAAATAAAAAGTTTAGTGAAAATTATCTTTTGACATTTACGTTTATTTGCACACAGAATCTAAGGTATTAGATATATAATCTCTATTAAATTTGATGTTTTTTTGAAGTGAAACTTCTTTAGGCGCATGAGGGTACAATTTTTACAGATGTAACGTCACGCAGGTATGCAACGGAAGTGTCGAAAAATTTTAATACAGCGCCATCTATGAGATTTTTTAATACTAACGCGCGTATGAAACCTCTTGTAGTGAATTTCAATTTAGGATTATACGTGACGTTAAAATATCGATTCACAGAGGGCGCTACCTCATACTATAAAATATGATTTACAATTATTTACTAATGACAAAATTTTACATAAACTTAGACATTTAGGATAATTGTATTTTAATTTTTGAAGGTTTCACTTCTAACACGTGTGAATTGCACACATGTTTCTTTTTTATTTTTATTCCTGTGGTTTTGCGCATCATTTGTGGAAAGAACTCGCCCGGTTAAGCTTAGCCTCTCGAGGTTACCAGCATCTCCAACCGATATGTATGTACCTTTTAGTTTTCTTCTATACAAGAAATTTGTGGCCTTTGGGACGCGCTGTTGCCACCGTCGCATGGATTCATTAGAACATATAATTGGAGTGTAGAAAAACTCACCATTAAAGGCGATTTAATTTATTATATTTATATTAATTTAGTTTTGTCTAAGTTAAATTCACCTAGGTGAAAATTATCTTCTTTATATGGACATCTTACAAATACAGCCCTGGTTCTCTTTCATTTACATGAATCCTACCTTGAACGTAGATATTATGTTTAAAGTCGGAGCAGTTTGGTATTACAGTTTTGTGTTATTTGCAGAATTTTTGCGCCACTTCGATAAAGCGGCACGACACGAGAACCCTCTCATCGTGGCCGCCGGTAACTACATTCCCGATCCTGCGGACAGAATGAAGCGCTGTCGACGTCGCCCAAAACACGTCATCTCGGATCCTCCCGATCCACTAACGGTGCTTCGAGGTACTTCAAGCACCGGTCACCGTTCTCGTCGAACCCGTCGCTTGCGACGAAGGGCTCGACGAGTAAATTAACCCTCAGACACAGCCCACTGAGTTTCTCGCCGGATCTTCTCAGTGGGTCGCGTTTCCGATCCGGTGGTAGATTCTGCGAAGCACGGATCTTGCTCTTCTCTTGCTTGCTCTTCGTGTTAGCAACGTCATCAGGTTTGAGCCGCGTGAGCTCACCTACTAGCCACGGTTACGCTGAAATAGCCTCTCAAGGCCATCAGCTTAGGTAGGAAAAAAAAAAAGCAGTATTTTTTTCGGGTTTCCGTGATCACGAAAAAGCGTTGAAAAGGTCCGAAAAAAACAATTGACGGGGAAAACTCGAGTATACTCTAGAATTAATTTTAATTGTTTGTCTATTTATATGCATTAGCAGAACAGAAGTTCAGGAGAGGCATCAGGTTCCAAATCAGCAGAGCAGAGGCTTAGTCTTCGCTTGGAAGTTAAAAAGATACGGAATCACGCTCATTGATGATCACCTATACGTGTATACACACGGCACACTTCTTACTGGATCTGCTAGTTAATTAATGTCTCAGTAATAAAATAGAAAAGCACATTTATTAAAACAACGTCTAATCAATGATTTATCGTAAAAATATAAAGATAAAATGCATTCAAAACAGTTCATTGGCCCCAATTTATATTTTGTCAAAGATATTTTGACTAAATGTAGTTATAAATTATATTTACAGTTATTAAAACTTTTACTGATGAAGCGGCGTTAAAAACAGCTAACAAACGTCCTAAGATAAATGTTACGAGTATGAAGGCAATCATCGCGCGTGCTTCGAGTTTGATAACTTGAAGTTACTAAATTATGAGTAA